AGTGGGAGCCCAGCGCCGTCTCCTCGGTGCTGGTGCTGGATGACGTGAACCCCAGCGCCCGCTTCGTCACCGTGCCCCTGCTCCACCGCATGGCCAGCGCCATCAAGTGCCAGTACTACTTTGCCGACGCCTGGATGATGTTCAGCGAGATCACCTTCCAGTCGGGTATCCGCTGCCACAAGCCACGGTCCCCGAAGGGACCAGACCCTCCTGAGGGGGGGCTTCAAGGAGGGACCAGGGCTGTGGGGCACCCATGCCCCCCACCCTGATGCCGTTCTCTTCTCCCTTGCCAGATGCAGCCATGTACAACAACTCAGTGGCCCCCCCTGAGGCGCCCATGGTCCCCACCACCTATGGTAAGGCACTGAAAAGCATGTCACCCCGAGCTGGGCAGAGGCTGGAGGCTTGTGGGGGCTCTGTCCCATCCAGTGAAGGAAAGGGAGCGGGCAGGGGCTCTCGCCTTGCCCTGGCGTGACCGGCTCTTGCTGTCCCCTCCTTCTGCCAGACCCCACGCTCAAGGTAGACGACAGCAACACGCGCATCCTGATCGGGTGCCTGGTGGCGATCATCTTCATCCTGGTGGCCATCATCGTCATCATACTGTGGCGGCAGTTCTGGCAGAAGATGCTAGAGAAGGTGGGCAAGGGTGGGCTGGCTGGTGAGGTGCCCCATTGTGGTGGGCTTGTCCTGGGCAGGTTCTCCTGGGAGCTCAGCACGGGGAAAGCAGAGTCCGTGCAGGGGCTGATGCTCCCTTCCCCTCCTGAGGAAGGCTGAGATTTGCACCCATCTCCCAAACAAGGGGATTTAGTTGAGCAGGGCGGTGACTTTGGGACCTGCCTGCTTGTCCATCCCTCTGTCCTGAAGCTGCGCTGGGGAAGAGGAGCCCGAGGGGTTCTCACTGCAGCCCCCGGGCAGTCACAGAGGTGATGGAGCCAAACTCTTCTCCCTAGAGGCAGACAATAGAAGCAGGGGACACGAGGTGAAATGTGCCCCAGGGACAGGGCACCAGAGAGGGGGGCTCAGGGCTGGGCACGGCCACGGTGCCATGGAGCACAGGAGACCCCATCCCACCAGTGCTGCAGAGACCCGCCGTCCCAGCTCTCTCCTCCCTCGCCCCTCTCTCGCAGGCGTCACGGAGGATGCTGGATGACGAAATGACTGTCAGCCTCTCCCTGCCCAGTGAATCCAGCATGTTCAACCACAACCGCTCCTCCTCCTCCAGCGAGCAGGAGTCCAGCTCCACCTACGACCGCATATTCCCCCTGGGCCCTGACTACCAGGAGCCCTCCCGCCTGATCCGCAAGCTGCCCGAGTTCACCCCGGGGGAGGAGGACACGGGTGAGAGCCGGGACACCCTGCGTGCTGAGAGCCATCTACCATGCACTGAGCCCAACACAGCCCCTCTCCCCATTCCCAGCTTTTGGCCAAGATCCAAACATTTTGGCACAGAGGGGTGGGGAGGATGTTCCATGAGCTCCCGCACTCGGGGGTCACACAAAGCCTGTGGCCAAGAGCCATCACCAGTGTCCACGCCAGGCTGAGCTGTGTCCCCACCACTGTCCTTGGGATGCTCCAGCATCTCTTCCTCAATGATCCGGAGGTCAGGCTCTGATCCCTGCTCATTTGGCTGGGTCGGTGCATTTGTCGGTGATGGGGAAGGAGCGG